TTTTAAAATATATTTTGAGATTTTTTGAAATATTAAAAAAAATTTAAAGTACTTTTTAGAGTACCTTTTAGAGTGCTTTTTAAAATTTTTTAAGTATTTGAAAAACTGAAGGTTCCAAACAGATCACTATAGCTTTCCAACTTCCAAGCATAATGTAAGTACAAAGTCAACCTTGTTTGGATTGATTTTTTTAAAAAAAAAAATCTCTATTTTCTATGAATATTCCTTATGCATAATTTTTAATCATTTTTATATCTCACATACATCATATTCTAAAATATACTAAAGTAATTTTTCTCCAAAAACTCTCTGGAAAATAAGATCCAACCCTTTAGAAACACGGTCAGATAGTTCCATATATGATTAGATATAAAAATATGAGTTTTTAAAACTTCTAATTGAAATTTTCAAACCAATTTTGATGGTTGTTAATTTTTCCTAAATACTCAAAATGACCTCCGCAATGTTTAATTATTATTATTATTATAAAATAAGCACTTTATTGGGTCAGCGTGTCAACTTGCGAGTTGATCCAACCCAACCCAACCTACGTACATTTTGACTAACAGATTGACCTAATAATGACCCATTAAAATTTGGACCGTGAAAATCTATTAATTTCGAACCGTGTTCGAACGATATTGTAGTACCATGCTAAAAATTGTCACCCCTAAACTGTTATGAGTTAGAAAAAGTGGTTGGGCTATCTTGCATTAACGTAATTTCTTTTGGAGTTTGTAGTTGGGCTAAATAATGGGTCGCACATAATTTGTTTCTTGTCCAAAGAAACCTCCAAGGCCTGTGGACTCTGTTTGAGAGAATATGTTTGAATTGGAGATTATTTGAATTTTTTAAAATAATATTGTTGGATTTTTTTGTGATATATGGTGATTTAAAAATGTATTCGCGTTGCATAATAAAAAAAAATTTTGAAAACAAAAAGTCTATTCAAACAAATATTGGCCCCGTTTGGAAGGTGAGTTTTTCGGGTGTTTGTCTAAAATTTTACTGTAGAAGTTGTAAGAAAAATTTTTAGGATAGAAAAACTTTTTTCTTTCTTTTTCTTTTTCTTTTTTTTTCTTTTTCTTTCTTTCTTTCTTTCTTTCTTTTTTCTTTCCTCTCTTCTTCTTCTCCCTTCTCCCTCCCCCGGCACCTCTACCTCTGAAGTTCCAGAACCACCAGCCATGGGAAAATTTTTTTCCCTTTTTCTCTTCCCCTCTTCTCCCTCTCTCTCTCTCCCTCTCCTTCCCCTCCCCGTCGCCCTCCGACGCCAGAGAATTGCAGCCATGGATTTTTTTTTTCCTTTTTCTCTCCCCACTCTCCTTCCCCCTTTCCCGCCATTCTCCCCCTCTCCCTAGTTGCGATCTGGTCGCCCCCATTGGAAACCTGCAATTTTTTTTCCTTTCTTTTCCCCTCTTCTCCCTTCCCTCTCTCCCTCTCCTCTCCCCTCCTCCTCGCACTCCGATGCCAGAGTAATGGAAGCCATGGATTTTTTTTTTTTTTTTAGCTTTTTCTCTCCCCCTCCCCCGCCACCCTCTCCCTCCCTTGGCGACCAAATCGCAGCCCCCCTAATGTTCTTTTAGCAAACTTTGGCCCCAATTCTGCATGCCCTAATTTGACCCCAGCTACCACTGATCGAACCCTAGATGGCATTGATCTAAACACCTTGACCGGCACATAGTAGAATCGAACTGATGGTCGGGGAGGTCGCATTCCAGCAGCTAATCGAATCTGCAGCCAAGGTTGAAGTTGTAATGGCGTGGGCATCCGACTTAGCAAATCTCTGTCTGGTCTTCTCGGGTGTCGGCCACAGTCCAAGAAGTAGTATTTTCCCATTTTTTTCCTAGTTTATTGATGTAGTTATTGATTAAACGAGCGGAAGACTTGTAATGAGTAGAAGAGGTCACCATCTCATCTTTATGAGTTAGAGATTACCTCTAGGTGCTGGCACTGATGAGGGAGAGGGAGAGAGAAAAAAAAAAGAGGAAGGCGGAATAGGTGACGGCGCCGGGAGCGGTGGTGGAGGTGATGGCTGGCGACCGAGGACGTGGTGGGTTGGGTGAGGGAGGAAAAAGAAGAAAAATTGAAGGGAAATTTTTGTGTATTAGATTTGAAGTGTGTATGTTAAAAACTTTGATAAGTTTTTGGGATTCCTGTAGCAAAAGTTGTTAAAAAACTAGTTGCATACAAACTTGCTAAAAAATTGAGGTTCCAAACAGGCCCATAGTTTGCGGCGAAAAAGCCGAGTGCGTTTGAATTAAGATTTTTTTTTACCCAAAACTAGTTTTTCCTTTCACCAAAATCTGCACAGAGGTGGAGTGACAATCAAAGAGGAGAAGTGGAGGGAAGCAGTGCCCGTAGGAGTGGGAACAATGGTGAATGGGTCATGCATGGGGAGTGAAGGGGCAGGGATAGAGATAGCAAGAGTGGAGGAAGAAAAATGGTGGAGCATCCCAAAAAACAACTCAAAAAAACACCCAAAAAGGTATTAACAGCGGGATGAATGATTTCTGAATGTTGTATTTTGCTTTTTTGTGTTATATATTAAAAGAAAATTATGGGTGATGAAATGAAACCCTGGTTAGGAATAGTTAATCACTAAACCCATAGAGGAGGCCTACCATTTCGATTGATTAATTTCGATTGACCTTAAACAAATACTCTCTCTATCCCAATTTGTTTGCCATATTTATGAAATACAATTTTTTAAGAATAGTGAATTGATTGTGATTTTTGTGTTTCTCTTTCTAATTTTATCTCCACAAGTTCAAATTTTGAATTTAAATGATAACATGCATATGATTAAAGAGATGGACTATATTAAAAAAAGAAACTAAAAAATGTTTTGACTTTCTCACCATGACAAACATTTTAGAACGTCCCAAAATAAAATGTACGACACTTTTCAATGGAACGATGAAAATAATATGTTTTGGGTGTGATTGCAAAGGAAACCCATTCACGTGCACAAAACCCATTTTCCAAACACACCCTAAGTCACCTTAGGTTTTTCGTCAGTGTCTTGCGGCCCTTCTTTCCTCTAATCCATTTAAAATTTCTCTTAAAAAGTGAAAAAAAAAAATTTAAGATGTTACAATGAACAAGCAATTTTTATGTTCCTCAAATCCGTCAAGTCTTAACCAATGTTTTAAAAATCGGACCGTTAATCGAACCGGTGAAGTGAAAGGGTCGAGGTTCAACCGGTCGGACCGGTTCAACCTCGGTTCAATGAATTTTTTAAAAAATAATTTATATAAATATATATGTGCACAAAATAAGATATGTAATGGATAATTTAATACTTTATATGATGAAAAGTTTACTATTTTTGAATAACTTAAATTTTTAAAAATAAATTTTTTAAATTATAAGTTAAAACAAATAAATTTCATCTCAATTTCAATTATATCTACCAAAAAAATCTTAAATATAATCCAAAAATATCACAATATTTGAAATTATACAAAATTCACGTCTATGAGAATTTAGATATTGTGAACTTAAAATTTAATTTACATTTTGGAATTTATATTTACAATTTAAAAAAGGAAGTTTGGAGTTCGAAGAAAATCAAGAGAATTGAAAATAGAAATGCAAATTTGATAAGAAACAAAAAATGAGATAAAAGTGAGTGGTTGTGGTATTAAATAAATTGGGTTAAAGAAAAATAATTCTTTTTTAAATTTTTTAAATTTAATGGATAAAAACAAAATTAAAATATGGAAGAAAATATCAATAAATTAAAAATAAAGAGATTTGATTAAAAAATGAGTGGCAAAAGAAAAGATGATAGAGAGAGAGAGTGTGTGTGTGTGTGTGTGTGTTGAAGATTAAAAAGAAAGAGTCATGAAATGATGATATTTTGTAAAAAAAATGGAACAAAAGAAATATGAGTGTTTGTTTTATATAAATAAGTTATCAAAAAAAACTAATAAGATGTGATAGTGCAACGGTTACTACATTGGTCTTCTATTACAAAGGTCTTGAGTTCGAATCTTGATAACTACATTTTGCAAAAAAAAAAAAAAAAAGGAAAACTCAAAAACCGGAAATAACCGGTTCAAATCCGGTTCAACGGTTTAGCGGTCCGACCGGTTTTTGACCGGTTTCTTGACAAAGTCAAACCTGGCATTGAACCGGACCGGAGCCATGGCCGGTTCGCGGTTCAACCGGTCGAACCGGCCGGTCCGGTCCGGTTTTCAAAACACTGGTCTTAACAACTTATGAAGGGAACTTGGGGAGTTGGACAGTACCTTTGGTCTTCTTTATCGTTGCGATGACAATGCAATTTTTCACGCTCAAGAATAGGATGTTGTAAGAGTCTATGCGGTGGAACCCACCCTCGTTTTTGTGTCTCACCATTGATGTTGGGATTGCTTGGTCCAACTATTATTTTTATTGTAATATTGGTTACTATCTTTAATATATATATAATCAATTAGTCCCTTTCCAAATCATTTATGAAAGGATAATATCCCAACCACTTAATCCTAAGTCCTTATGTCTTACATATATATAAAAAGCTAAGACTTCTACTCCCAGGTTTAGCCACGTGGTAGGCTAAGGGAAGGGAGAAAAATTTTCTTCCGTTTATGCCCTGAGAATCTTGATTAGTTCTCTGAACAGTGTATCACTGTTGAGGTCATTTTTGTCTTTTCACATGAAATTACTATCTTGCCCAGATAAAAATAACTAACTCCAAAACAGTAACTTACTGTTGAGGGCTATTTCTGACTTCTCGCGAATAGCCTTTTGCTTTATTTCTCAGTTGTCATCTTTTCTTAGACGTAGTTGCCATCACCTCTGTTGTTCTTCACTTCTTTGTCTCCGTTATCAAAGACAAGAAGTCATAGGAGTCAAAAAGTCAAATAAAAATCTGGAAGTGCACCGATGTGGCAGGAAAGCAAAACACTCCCTTTCTACTTCATTTTTACAACTTTAGCCCATAGGAGTCAAAAAGTCAAATAAAAATCTGGAAGTGCATCGATGGCAGGAAAGCAAAACACTCCCTTTCTACTTCATTTTACAACTTTAGCCCATCATCTTTTGTTTTCTTCTTCCTTTCTGTCTCTCTCTGTTTCCCGTTAATTTTTCTTTCAGCTTTCTTTTCTCCCACAAAGAGTCAATTATGGCTGCCCATCCATATCCGAACTGTGGGATTGTTCCACAAAAGATGATAATCCTCTTTTCCTTTTCATTGTTCCCGTTTCTTGGACTATTCTTCTCTTCGGTGGAAAAAAAGAAGTACAGAAGCAGCTGAATAGCTTTTAGAAACAGTGGCCAAGAAATGGGTTGTCCGCCTGCTTCCTCCAACAATTGGTCAACAATTTCAGGATTGGCTTCGCTAAATTGTGGCTGCTCATCGGATTTTTTCGTTAGTCATTATCCATTCCTTTTTATTCCCCAGCCATTCTTTTCCTCTTGCTTTGTCTCTTTTTTTCTGTTTGCTGTTCTTTACTTTCCCCCTCCTGTTGTTTCCAGATCAGTCGGTCAATCATTTCATGATTTTCTTCCCTAAATTATGGCTATCCATCCAATTTTTTTACTTCTGTGCTCTCTATCATATCCCAACCATGGGATTGTGGTTTGTCCTTTTGTATTCATTTTCATTTTTCGATTGAGAAATTATTGAGACTCAAAAGAAAAATCTCTGACAATTTATCAGTTTGCATCTTTATCCGCTCTGTTCATGATGGCTAATACCATTGCTAGGGATATAGGTTTGTCCTTTTCTTTTCCTTATTGTTGACCACTTGGCAAATTATCTAGAATGAAGGAAAGTTTGTGCCTTTATATTAGGAACAGAAATACTGGTCACAAAAAACTTCACGCTTCTTCAACCTTGTCATCTACAACTTTTTGTACTAAAGGTAACTACTACTCTTCTTTGTTTAATTTTTTTTCCCTACCAGTATTAAAGAGATTGGATAATCTGTCTACTTGTTATTTTGGTTGCCAAATTTCTTGAGGGTGTTAATTGCACTTTGAAACAATTGGTGCAGAAAAACTTCTAATTAAGCGTCCACAGATTTCCAGTATGTAGTTGCTTCAATTTCAGGTCACTCTCTTCAGTCCTTCAGTTTCTTGTTTTTTCTTTTCCTGTTAATAATATGTACAACTGATTTTGAAGGAAGGGTTGTCACCACTTTCTGAATAGAGATAACCAAGCTAAAACAAGTTAAATTCTCAGTCTGAAGTGTAAGCTGAGAATAAAAGATAAAAAGTCTTACACATTAAGGTTTTGCCCCATGTTGAAGGTATTATGCACAAAAGTTAGGTAGGCGATAGAAGAAACAAAATTTAAAACTGATAATCCTAATATTGAGTTTCTAGGATTTGTTGTAGCTGGCTTAGAGGTGTGGTATATTAATTTCTCAAAACTATTTCTAAAGGCAACGTTCCTGGTTCCACAGAACTCTCAAATCTTAAAACCACAACATGTTGGCTGATCTATTAATATTCACGTATTCTGGATACAGTTAGTGATGCATAATCGATTCTATGAATACTATTACACCCAATTAAAGATTATAGAATCTATGGCAGTTTCTCTAAATCCGAGTATCTATAAAGCTGGAACATTAAAAAAAACACGAGGTTTCCTTGATGAAATATGTTTCTTGATGAACTTTGAACCATACAACCTGATATTTGCATGAAAAAATGCGCAGACCTAATGAAGCCAGATTGTCTGGTAAGCAACAGAAGTGTGTTGTTTCATGGCTTAAAATGACTGTAGTTTTTGGGTTGTAAGTTCATTTGGTTTCACTTATTGACTGAATATGGCTGAAAATGATTGTACCTCTGCAATCTTTCCTACTAAAACTAATCACGCCTTTCTTTTTGTCTAATTTTTTCCTCTGTCAGTATTACACTTATTAGATAGTTTGTATAGTTTTACGTTGACTGATAGGATTCTTCTGCATGCTATTTAGATTGCCAACTCTGTTCAGCGGTTTAGTTGCGGTATTCCTCTGTCAACAACTTTTTCCCCAAATTTTGGCTGGTCTTTTGATTCACAAAGATCGTATTCTATCTCATCTCTCAATCATGTGATTATTGCAAAAAAGACATTTTTGCAGATTTGATCTATTTTCCAGTTATGATGACAGATAGGCTTCTTAGCAATTTAGGTCTTTACGTTTTAGGGAAATCTGGAATCAGAAAGGGAACATACATATTTATCACTCCTTATTTTGTCTTGCAATCTGAGCTCTTACTATTGGAAGGAAATAGGAGCAGCAAAAAATCCCACCTTGCTCTTCGCTGCTTTTTCTCTGATGCCTTCTTGGGTAAGACAGATTTTTTCTTTACTTTTTGTTAATTTCTTTACATAACAAATACCAATAGTAGATAAATAAAGAAACTAATGTATACACATTATTGATCATAGTCTCTTTTTGGATTTTATCTTCGTTGACAAGGTTTGTTTCATTTTTTTAAGTTTTTGATTAGATGTTCTTCATTTTGTTATTTCTTTTTCTCATCTTTTTTATTAAATGATGTTCTGATGTTTGAGTTTTTTTTTTGGTTGGTGGTGTTTGTTTTGGTTGCAAGCAAATACAGATGTTCAAACAAGTCAAGTATGTGAAATCTCATAGACTAATGACTATCAAGCGTTTGATGAAATGTCTATATGAAACTTGGGATAATTAGTAGAGAACACGTGGAGAGAAAGATTACACAGGTAAATTCTATTTTGCTCTATATCCTTTTTTTTTCTATGGCCAATTCTTTTTGTGTTTTCTAGGGCACTTTATCTTTCCTTTTCGACCTTTTTTGGTTCTGATCTTGATCTCATGTTGCTCATTCTATGTTGACGTTCGCTATATTTTTGCTAGTGATAGATGTCATATGGAAGTTTAATTTTGATCTTTCAGTTTGATTTTTGAAAAATTTTGTTCATTCTTTCAACCTTTATATGCCTTTCAAGTTCAATTTGGTCCATGTATACTTTCAACTCTTCATCTTTTCGTTACTTTTCCAGAATCTTTTTTGTGGCTGAGCTAAGATTTCTTAAAAATGACTTTGATGTCTATGCCTTTTGAGGAACATGATTACATAGGCTTATCAGAGGTTCCTGCAATGGAAAGTTCTGAAAAGAATAATGCTCTGCCTTTGGGAGATAAATAAGAAAATAAAATGATGCATTGTCCTGCGTGCTATGGGAGGGGTCTAATTGCTCAGAGATGGGTTTGATACAATGTAAAGTTGTATTCCATACTCTGACTTTGTTGTATCTGTAGGGAGAGTTCATACCATAAACTGAAAGTTACACACTTCATAGTTTAGCTATGTTAGGCCCATCTTGATCGTTAGCAGCTTTCTCTCTGCAATTATTGTTATCGGATATAAGACTTTCTATGTAGCTGATAGCTTGTCAAAAAATCTCCATGCAGATGCTTAAAATGTAATGGGATGTGTATGGTGCCTTGAGTAACTTGTGGTTCTTGTGGGCCTATCAAATGTGTGACGTGCATGGGTGGTGGTTCTCTTTTGACTCACAAAGTGGGTATTATCAGATGGTATGGCCTATGTTGTTTTGCACAATATATTTGGCATGCCATATCTCTTATAGATTTTAGGACATAACTAAAAGAACATTTTGGATTTAGTTTAAAAGAACATAACTAAATGAACTTGTTATCATGATAGGTAAATTGATTTTGAATCTAGCCTGAAGCATTTTGGGGAAAAAATTGTTAAAATGCTAAAAGAACATAACTAAGTAAAAGTTGGGGTTCAGTTTGTCATTAAAAGTTGGTCCCTATGCACATTCCTCATAGGTAAGGGCCATTTAGTCCATGATCCATTGGACAGTCAGTTCAGGGCCAGATATTGAAGCAGTGCCATCTGATTTCTTTTGAATAATTTTATAACTACTTTTTCAGTTTGTTGGTTCATTCAAGAATGACAAGTATGTTGGTTCATTCAAGATCATTCAAGAATGGCAAGTCAAGTATTCACAGAATCTTCATTGGACAAACTTAAATGTGCTAGGCTTGAAACCCTCCTTTGAAGTAATTGTCATGGATGGCCAAGTACACCCTGTGGACATGCGTACTAGGTCACTTAAGCCTGCAACAACTTTGGCTTGTGATTTATGTGTTTGGATGCTATGTTGAGATCCCTACCAAAGCTAAAAGAACTTTAGTGAACCCGACCAGAAAATTTGAAATCACTCTGTCCACAAGATTTATTGTTTCGGTTTTGTTGTTTCTTGCATGGCATTCCTTCAAGTTATGCTGTTTGCCTATTTCAATCTGCCTCATAGTTGTGCCATGATGGAGAAATAAAGGAAAACATAATTGTTTTAAGTACCGATTATGCATTTTGTCTGTGTTTTTGGCTGTCCAGGAACACTTTCAACTCGGAAGTGAGCGCAACAAGTAGAGCTGCTACAGTTCCTGACGATGTTTTCCACAGAGTGCAAGACATCCAGTTGTGCAATACCCAAGCCTACCAATGCACTCCTGCTTTTTTTGCCGATTCATTCTTCCTCAACAAGTTTTCCTCTGAAGTAACTGCAGAAAGGGCTTCGGTCCCTCATACTGCAAGGGTTATAGTGAGAGACATATCATCTCTATTGTCCCAGTCACTCGTGTGACTATGGCCCATCATAATTGCTCTTTCAGTTTCTATATTATCAGAAACGGTAGAGAAGTTTATCTCAAGGACTATCCGGCTAGGTTCTGTTGGGGCCTGTGCCCATGCTTTGAGTGGTTGAAATCAGAAGTTGCTGTTGTTACTCCTGAGGTCCTTCACTTGCTAGATTGAAATGATTTCCAGAGGACAGATATTTTAGTTTTTGCTCAAAATTGGGAAGATAGAATCAGTTCAAACATGTTAATGGGTTATGCGTTGAGTGAATGAGATATTGTACGAATCAAGATTTTTTTGTGCTCATGCAAAAATAGAAGTTAAGCTGGTAACTACAACCAGAAATGCTAGCACATATAAAATGGTGCAAGTATTGCAATGAGTAAATGGTCCAATGAGGATGGTTTACATTCTGTATGTTGTCAACTATATTCTCTGCACAACAATTTCATCGTTAGACGTTCTATTCAACTTAAATGAATAATCATCTAATCAGATTAGTATTTTTTAAGGTTCCAAACGAGTAGTTTAATTTTTTATTTTTAAAATTTATGATATGCATCTCCATACATCTATATAGGAAAACCAAATACCTCTCCTGCATATTTAGCCCAACACATTGGGCATTGGCTGTGCGTTGCACAGCCGAAAAAGTTTCTAGTATATCTTACATATATATAAAAAGCTAAGACTTCTACTCCCAGGTTTAGCCACGTGGTAGGCTAAGGGAAGGGAGAAAAATTTTCTTCCGTTTATGCCCTGAGAATCTTGATTAGTTCTCTGAACAGTGTATCACTGTTGAGGTCATTTTTGTCTTTTCACATGAAATTACTATCTTGCCCAGATAAAAATAACTAACTCCAAAACAGTAACTTACTATTGAGGGCTATTTCTGACTTCTCGCGAATAGCCTTTTGCTTTATTTCTCAGTTGTCATCTTTTCTTAGACGTAGTTGCCATCACCTCTGTTGTTCTTCACTTCTTTGTCTCCGTTATCAAAGACAAGAAGTCATAGGAGTCAAAAAGTCAAATAAAAATCTGGAAGTGCACCGATGTGGCAGGAAAGCAAAACACTCCCTTTCTACTTCATTTTTACAACTTTAGCCCATAGGAGTCAAAAAGTCAAATAAAAATCTGGAAGTGCATCGATGGCAGGAAAGCAAAACACTCCCTTTCTACTTCATTTTACAACTTTAGCCCATCATCTTTTGTTTTCTTCTTCCTTTCTGTCTCTCTCTGTTTCCCGTTAATTTTTCTTTCAGCTTTCTTTTCTCCCACAAAGAGTCAATTATGGCTGCCCATCCATATCCGAACTGTGGGATTGTTCCACAAAAGATGATAATCCTCTTTTCCTTTTCATTGTTCCCGTTTCTTGGACTATTCTTCTCTTCGGTGGAAAAAAAGAAGTACAGAAGCAGCTGAATAGCTTTTAGAAACAGTGGCCAAGAAATGGGTTGTCCGCCTGCTTCCTCCAACAATTGGTCAACAATTTCAGGATTGGCTTCGCTAAATTGTGGCTGCTCATCGGATTTTTTCGTTAGTCATTATCCATTCCTTTTTATTCCCCAGCCATTCTTTTCCTCTTGCTTTGTCTCTTTTTTTCTGTTTGCTGTTCTTTACTTTCCCCCTCCTGTTGTTTCCAGATCAGTCGGTCAATCATTTCATGATTTTCTTCCCTAAATTATGGCTATCCATCCAATTTTTTTACTTCTGTGCTCTCTATCATATCCCAACCATGGGATTGTGGTTTGTCCTTTTGTATTCATTTTCATTTTTCGATTGAGAAATTATTGAGACTCAAAAGAAAAATCTCTGACAATTTATCAGTTTGCATCTTTATCCGCTCTGTTCATGATGGCTAATACCATTGCTAGGGATATAGGTTTGTCCTTTTCTTTTCCTTATTGTTGACCACTTGGCAAATTATCTAGAATGAAGGAAAGTTTGTGCCTTTATATTAGGAACAGAAATACTGGTCACAAAAAACTTCACGCTTCTTCAACCTTGTCATCTACAACTTTTTGTACTAAAGGTAACTACTACTCTTCTTTGTTTAATTTTTTTTCCCTACCAGTATTAAAGAGATTGGATAATCTGTCTACTTGTTATTTTGGTTGCCAAATTTCTTGAGGGTGTTAATTGCACTTTGAAACAATTGGTGCAGAAAAACTTCTAATTAAGCGTCCACAGATTTCCAGTATGTAGTTGCTTCAATTTCAGGTCACTCTCTTCAGTCCTTCAGTTTCTTGTTTTTTCTTTTCCTGTTAATAATATGTACAACTGATTTTGAAGGAAGGGTTGTCACCACTTTCTGAATAGAGATAACCAAGCTAAAACAAGTTAAATTCTCAGTCTGAAGTGTAAGCTGAGAATAAAAGATAAAAAGTCTTACACATTAAGGTTTTGCCCCATGTTGAAGGTATTATGCACAAAAGTTAGGTAGGCGATAGAAGAAACAAAATTTAAAACTGATAATCCTAATATTGAGTTTCTAGGATTTGTTGTAGCTGGCTTAGAGGTGTGGTATATTAATTTCTCAAAACTATTTCTAAAGGCAACGTTCCTGGTTCCACAGAACTCTCAAATCTTAAAACCACAACATGTTGGCTGATCTATTAATATTCACGTATTCTGGATACAGTTAGTGATGCATAATCGATTCTATGAATACTATTACACCCAATTAAAGATTATAGAATCTATGGCAGTTTCTCTAAATCCGAGTATCTATAAAGCTGGAACATTAAAAAAAACACGAGGTTTCCTTGATGAAATATGTTTCTTGATGAACTTTGAACCATACAACCTGATATTTGCATGAAAAAATGCGCAGACCTAATGAAGCCAGATTGTCTGGTAAGCAACAGAAGTGTGTTGTTTCATGGCTTAAAATGACTGTAGTTTTTGGGTTGTAAGTTCATTTGGTTTCACTTATTGACTGAATATGGCTGAAAATGATTGTACCTCTGCAATCTTTCCTACTAAAACTAATCACGCCTTTCTTTTTGTCTAATTTTTTCCTCTGTCAGTATTACACTTATTAGATAGTTTGTATAGTTTTACGTTGACTGATAGGATTCTTCTGCATGCTATTTAGATTGCCAACTCTGTTCAGCGGTTTAGTTGCGGTATTCCTCTGTCAACAACTTTTTCCCCAAATTTTGGCTGGTCTTTTGATTCACAAAGATCGTATTCTATCTCATCTCTCAATCATGTGATTATTGCAAAAAAGACATTTTTGCAGATTTGATCTATTTTCCAGTTATGATGACAGATAGGCTTCTTAGCAATTTAGGTCTTTACGTTTTAGGGAAATCTGGAATCAGAAAGGGAACATACATATTTATCACTCCTTATTTTGTCTTGCAATCTGAGCTCTTACTATTGGAAGGAAATAGGAGCAGCAAAAAATCCCACCTTGCTCTTCGCTGCTTTTTCTCTGATGCCTTCTTGGGTAAGACAGATTTTTTCTTTACTTTTTGTTAATTTCTTTACATAACAAATACCAATAGTAGATAAATAAAGAAACTAATGTATACACATTATTGATCATAGTCTCTTTTTGGATTTTATCTTCGTTGACAAGGTTTGTTTCATTTTTTTAAGTTTTTGATTAGATGTTCTTCATTTTGTTATTTCTTTTTCTCATCTTTTTTATTAAATGATGTTCTGATGTTTGAGTTTTTTTTTTGGTTGGTGGTGTTTGTTTTGGTTGCAAGCAAATACAGATGTTCAAACAAGTCAAGTATGTGAAATCTCATAGACTAATGACTATCAAGCGTTTGATGAAATGTCTATATGAAACTTGGGATAATTAGTAGAGAAAACGTGGAGAGAAAGATTACACAGGTAAATTCTATTTTGCTCTATATCCTTTTTTTTTCTATGGCCAATTCTTTTTGTGTTTTCTAGGGCACTTTATCTTTCCTTTTCGACCTTTTTTGGTTCTGATCTTGATCTCATGTTGCTCATTCTATGTTGACGTTCGCTATATTTTTGCTAGTGATAGATGTCATATGGAAGTTTAATTTTGATCTTTCAGTTTGATTTTTGAAAAATTTTGTTCATTCTTTCAACCTTTATATGCCTTTCAAGTTCAATTTGGTCCATGTATACTTTCAACTCTTCATCTTTTCGTTACTTTTCCAGAATCTTTTTTGTGGCTGAGCTAAGATTTCTTAAAAATGACTTTGATGTCTATGCCTTTTGAGGAACATGATTACATAGGCTTATCAGAGGTTCCTGCAATGGAAAGTTCTGAAAAGAATAATGCTCTGCCTTTGGGAGATAAATAAGAAAATAAAATGATGCATTGTCCTGCGTGCTATGGGAGGGGTCTAATTGCTCAGAGATGGGTTTGATACAATGTAAAGTTGTATTCCATACTCTGACTTTGTTGTATCTGTAGGGAGAGTTCATACCATAAACTGAAAGTTACACACTTCATAGTTTAGCTATGTTAGGCCCATCTTGATCGTTAGCAGCTTTCTCTCTGCAATTATTGTTATCGGATATAAGACTTTCTATGTAGCTGATAGCTTGTCAAAAAATCTCCATGCAGATGCTTAAAATGTAATGGGATGTGTATGGTGCCTTGAGTAACTTGTGGTTCTTGTGGGCCTATCAAATGTGTGACGTGCATGGGTGGTGGTTCTCTTTTGACTCACAAAGTGGGTATTATCAGATGGTATGGCCTATGTTGTTTTGCACAATATATTTGGCATGCCATATCTCTTATAGATTTTAGGACATAACTAAAAGAACATTTTGGATTTAGTTTAAAAGAACATAACTAAATGAACTTGTTATCATGATAGGTAAATTGATTTTGAATCTAGCCTGAAGCATTTTGGGGAAAAAATTGTTAAAATGCTAAAAGAACATAACTAAGTAAAAGTTGGGGTTCAGTTTGTCATTAAAAGTTGGTCCCTATGCACATTCCTCATAGGTAAGGGCCATTTAGTCCATGATCCATTGGACAGTCAGTTCAGGGCCAGATATTGAAGCAGTGCCATCTGATTTCTTTTGAATAATTTTATAACTACTTTTTCAGTTTGTTGGTTCATTCAAGAATGACAAGTATGTTGGTTCATTCAAGATCATTCAAGAATGGCAAGTCAAGTATTCACAGAATCTTCATTGGACAAACTTAAATGTGCTAGGCTTGAAACCCTCCTTTGAAGTAATTGTCATGGATGGCCAAGTACACCCTGTGGACATGCGTACTAGGTCACTTAAGCCTGCAACAACTTTGGCTTGTGATTTATGTGTTTGGATGCTATGTTGAGATCCCTACCAAAGCTAAAAGAACTTTAGTGAACCCGACCAGAAAATTTGAAATCACTCTGTCCACAAGATTTATTGTTTCGGTTTTGTTGTTTCTTGCATGGCATTCCTTCAAGTT